ACGTGCTCATGTCCTCCCTTGATGCCTCGAAGCTTTGATCATTTTCCTGTGCGTCCATCAATCGTTTGTGTAGAAAAACTAAAACCGGAAACCTGGAGACGACTTGCAGGACCGGTTGAGACGTCGGGCGTTCGGTGGGAATTCTGAGAACCGCGGCTCTACTCTTCATAGAATTTTCTTAGTGTGTTTGTTGGCACATGTTTGGCCTGAGGTTGGCCGCCAATTGGACGCATTAAGAATCTTCAAGTCTTTAGCAGGGCCTATAGCAATGAGCATTACGTCAGCAACTGCTTAAACCGGTGAAACGTTCACGCAAAATGCTACTACCACTTCCAGGACTTGAAAAACAAGGTAAAGTTACCACTATTTTGATTTTCGTCAATTGCATAGGTGCCTTGTGCAAGTCTTTTCGGAGACCGGATGCTCATAGATTCTAGATGCTCACATTTGATGGCTGAATGATCTTGAAGACATCCGTTTAGCAGCTGATGTTGTAAATGTTATTAATTAATTGAAGTAATTCAGGAAGAATGCTACGAATTGGATTCCTAGCAGAGTACTTTTATACGTTAACAATTAGCGTGAATAGTAAACTAGCTCCGAATAAATTGCCATGAAGATGCAAAAATGAACAATTACTGGAATTAATTAAAAAATCCCATTTCATTGATAGTTTGAATTACAGAATCATGACATTTTTAATCAAATCTTTGTTAGCAGTATAATATATCCGAACGACCAGCAATCAACAATCGGATGCCGCTCTACAATCAGTGCCGTATATGATCGCTGATCGGCCACGAACAAATTATCCATCGATGATTTTTAACAAAGGTATTGAGGAGGAGATGAATTACCGCCAGTTTCTATTTATAGTCTCGGATGTTAAGGAATATTTCCAGCCCTCGCTAGCTTTGCCTGTCCCACACAAGCAGGTTTCCTAATGGCAACGAGCAAAGAATAAAAAAGAAATGTTCAGCCACACAAGTCTTACGACTTAGGGCAAGGCACTTCTTTGCCAAATGACTTGGGTAATTTTTGCTGACAAGCTGCCTGGCTAATGACAAACAAATCAAATAAAGCTAAAATTCATTCCTTAATTGCCATTACACACACGTCTTACATTCAGATTCTTACAACTGCTTCGTAGTTCGAATGGTAAAAGCATATTGAATATATTCATGTACTAGAAGTTTTCATCCTTAATTTACATTACCCGACCCGCACGTTTAAAATATTTAGTTTAGCTGCTGCGTACTTTGCTGTGGACAAACATATCAAAATACTGTAAATTGTAATCCCGAATTGGTGTTACACGTGCCATAAAATTTTGCATGAGCGATGTTGAAGTTTAACGCAGGCGATTTATGTATAGAAAGTTGAGTACTCTAATGACACGGCATGTGACTTGGCTAATTGTAATGCGCATCTGAAGTAGGAGGTCCAGGTCTTTAGTAAACATCATAGGCGTATTATGGGTGGCTGATGGTCGGCCATGGTTGATGTGCCTTGAATGCTCAATAGAGACGAGCGTGCAGAAGACATCGCGCTTTGACTGATGGGCTGAGCTCGTGAGGCGGGGATCATGAGAGTTGGTCCAGCAGCTCCTAGGCTTGCCTTGTTCCATGCTTGATCCTCTCCTCAAGAACTCCCGACTGCCCTAAAATACTTACCGTATTATAACTTTGGCTGGTTAATTCGTCACCCGACTATGCTCATTGTGGTGGGTAAAATCTTTTATTTTTTCAGATTTAAAAGTCAAAATTCTATTTATCCTTGAAACAAATGCATTAGATTCTCAATTCATCTCAAGATTCAACAAATTGAATTGCAGCCCCAATGAATGAGTTGCCCCTAACATGAATCGCAGCGATGGTACACAGCACGGCCACCCAGTACTGGCCGCGCTCCGTAAATAGAAAAGAAATTAAACTTACTCGGAACTGAGCTACATTATCTCCACGCTGTGTTTGCCCCCGATAAAATTCTTCATAGGTCGTCAAGATTCTCAACTCTCATGAGTTCATCAATTTTTACGACCACTTCTCGAGTCACAACAGAGTTTGTTGTAATTACCGAACACGATGGTTCGAGTGCAGATTTTAGATCAGTAAACTCAAAGCAAAATGAAGTGAGCCAAATTCTACAACATTCATTAACTGTGTTCGAAATTACTGGAGGCAGCAGTAGAGTGGTGGAGCCAGCTTTCAACAGCTGACAAAAAAATACTTTGTTTCAAGTTTCTCAAAACGTCAACGTTCTCGTACTACCTCTTTCATTAGAGCTCCAAATCAGCGTTCTTTGACGAATTAGTAATGTAATCGCGTGTATTCTACAAAGGTAATATCAAACCGAGTGAAATTTAGGCTATTGCGACAGGTGAAGTTGCTTTAATTGAATCTAGAAATTAGGTGTCGTATCATAATATAATATCTCCTGGAAAAAGTCTTTATAACATTTGCTTAGAACGTTGCCTTGGTATATGTTTTACTTTGTAAATATGGAAATTTATACGACTGTTCTCTGTGCATTCTACTGAAACGACACGTTTTGCGAATGTAGTAGAATTGCAAGTGAAGTTACGATCTAGTATTTATTTCTTTCTCTCAATACATATTTTACGAACGAAATATTGTTTGCTATGTATTTGTCTCCCATTTTTCCGAGCCTCATCTAACTCACCAGGCAAATGACACTAAAACTACGTTTAATTAACGTTGATTTAACGAAGGTGTCGTATCGTAATATAATATTTTATAGAAAAAATCCTTTTAACATTTGCTTAGAACGTTGCCTTGGTATATATTATACTTTGTAAATGTCGAAATTTATACGACTGCTCTCTGTGCATTCTACTGAAACCATGCGTTCTGCGAATGTAGTAGAATTGCAAGTGAAGTTACGATGTAGCATTTATTTCTTTCTCTCAATACATTTTTTCAACAAAATATTGTTCGCTATGTATTTGTTTCCCCTTTTTACCAAGCCTCATCTAACCCACCAGGCAAATGACACTATAACTACATTTGATTAACGTTGATTTAACGATAGATCGTTTAATTCAACTTTGATTCAACTGGAGGGATGATATCAGCGTTGTCGCATTTACAACTCTGACCGGCGTCAGGCAGTAAGGCTTCGAAAGGTTCCATCTCTTCCCTTCCGTTTACCTCATTTTGATTTTTATGTTCTTGGGATCATCGAAGGGAGATCGTTTGTTATAAATAAGTGAAAACTTCATCGCGTTTCTTCATTCATGACAAAGAATCAATTTTCCACCATGGCAATGATTCCAGGAAGCTAATCGTTCAGTCATTACAGAATTCCATGAATCAAAAATCTGATTCAATGGAGTAATGATGTTTCGTCGTGAAGCAAAAGTAGACTTTGCCGTAATTGCATTTTCCGTTCGGCAAAAAATCCAGCTTCGCAGTAACGATGTCGACTGTGAAGAAAAAGTCTGATCGTTCAAATTGATCAACGGAGGGCATTGTCACGCTGGGCCGCTCAATATCCTTGCGCCAAATCGGGGCCGTGTCACGGTCGGCCGTTCGACCGTCGGCCTTTCGTAGCGCTGATATAAAACTGTTTAAATTTCCAGGGAGGGAAGAGCGTTTCGTATGGTGATTGAAGGCAGCACCGTGAGGCCCTGCCTACCGAAATAACCTATAATTCGTAGTGGGTATTCCTGCTCTATTTTTCAGCGGAAAGAAGCTTGTTTAAATTCTTATGGTATCAAAGCTATTTTTACTTTAAAAAGAATTGCCAATTATGGCTTAATAAATTTATACTCTTTAGGACAGAAATTCGCATAAAAAATTATGTCAATTGAGTTGAAGAAGGCTAACGGGTCTCCTACGGTGCGAAATGATTCAAGCATAAAAGATGAAATCATCCCTTATTATAGCGTACTATTAATGTACATCCCACCGGCAATGACTGGACGTTAATTTACATCCAACTTACGATGGGTGTAGGCTAATTTACAACTTGAGATATCTATACCCTAATTTACATCTCACCTGCAACACAGAAATTCGTTAATTCATAACCAACTAACGACGACTCTTTGTATTAAATGTATTCTTCAATATAATTTTTAGAGCAATATCTGCATCAAACTTTTTATTATTATTTGAAGCAAAATGGCATCCGAATGAAGGTTGGAAGCATTATCGGTCACTTAAAAGCCAATATAATAGTGAAGACGGTCGCGCACATCACCTACAGGATGACCAGCTCGGGTCGTGACCGTAGCCGCAGTTTTGGCGCACTGGGCCTAATGAGAGTTAGCTTCCTCTCGTGAAATTAGCAGGTCTGTGATGTGTACCATGGAGGCCTTATAAGTGGACCGCCTTACGAGCCATTCCGTACTTAATGAACTCTAATGATGGATCAATAATTGAACGAAGAGCATCAACACGCATGCTGGACCATGACCGATCAAACGCTAATGGGACGCTTCTGAAAAGAACAGGTTTTTGCGGCATTAGCGCCGCCCGAGTGAGGCGGCTGATCGATATCTCATGGGCGTTGATAAGCTGCAGGGAGCTGCTCACAGCTCCAATTCCTAATTTAAATTGCCTAACACTCTAAAATGAACTCCAAATGTAAGCAGGGAGCTGCTGACAGCTCCAATTCCTAATTTATATTGCCCCCACACTCTAAAATGAACTTTAAATATAAGCAGGCTGTTTTAAATCAAAAGGTGAAAGTGCATAAAAGAAATGTAAAGAGTTACTAAACCTTTAACTCAGCATCAGCACTATTTTCTTCGTAGCCTGTCAAGTGGAAATTCAGTTCACACAGTAAACATTTATATTGACATATTTAGAATTTTAATTAAGAATCATCTGTGCAGCCCACGTTTGAGCTCAACCCAGCATATTTTTTTCCGGCTGCGTGACAGATTGATCTTTACTTATGCAGACCAAAATTATTCAGTTGAATTTATGTTCTTAGAGATTATGTAAACAAAGTTGTATTGTTTTTCACTTCAGGATCAGAGAGTTGTTCCCCGGCAGCGTTGGGGCTCCTGAGCCCCCCAACTCCCCGCCCCATGGTGCCCGAAGTCTTCTCCGTCTCCATGCACTCGTGTACCATGACAAAGGAGGTTCGTATGCCAACCATGAAATAATAGTAATAATATTTAATTAATTTTAATTTAACTGTATTTAAAATAAATGATTATTATTTAATTAATTCAAATAGTAATATTTAATAATAATAATAAATAAATTTAAATTTCTGTTAACACCAAATATGAAATTGTTATCTTCTTGTCTTCATATTTCCGTTGGTGCTTATGCTGTGCTAAACATTTTCCTGCTGCCCCGCTACAGGCGGAGCTGCCACCCGAACAAGTAGAGCCCGTAGACTTGAGCGTGAAGATCAAAGTCGAATGTTTTGTCCGTCACGACCTCCCAAAAACTGACCGCAATGAACAGAAGCCATCAGAAGTGCCAACCTCCAAGAGTCCTCTCCCCCACATACCCTTCTATCTTCCCCACACTCCCGACACTCCCAAACATCCATTTCAAATTCCCCAATTGCCGCAAACGATTAATCTCCCTCTTTCCCCAATGCATTTACCGCATTCAAGTGATTCGCCGATTCATCCGTATTTCAAAGCATCATTTCTTTATGAAGCAAACAATAATTTCAGCGGCAAGACGCCGGTCAGTAAAAAAGATCAATCGAATATTCCTCCTTTAATTATAGCTTCTCCCTCGTGTCCAATCCCTATTCGCATTCCCTCAACGTCGGGACACATGGATGTTCTGACTCCCCACTCTAGTCACTTCAATTTTAACGCCTCAAGTAGCAGGTGTATGCAATATGGAGGGTTACAGATTTTCCCCAGCACGAGCTTTAGCCCCAATTCCCCACCTCAGTCCCCGACAACGAGCTCGCATTCCTCAGCTAGTACGAAACCTTCACACACAGTTGTACCTTCATCCCCCTCTCCTAGTATATCGACCACAGTTGCCAATAAGTCTACATCGCCACGAGATAAGAAAATAGAAAATACTTCGCCCGCTCCAAATACATCTAAGTCCAAGAAAGCGAAGCTTGAATCCACGTTTCCTGCGTCTCTGACATCCGTGGCTGTGTCTTCAGCTGCCTCGAGCGCATCCACTCAAACCAGCGCCGGATCCGCGGCGAGTGACGCTAGGGACCAACGAGATGACAAATTCGGCTCTAAAAAATCTCTTGCTTTGGAAGTGTCTTCCGAGTCTAAGTTGGAGACAAGTGCAAGCGACACGTTGGTGATCACTCCAGTTGCCACGGCGTCGCTGCCATCGCACCTTGCCCTGCCACAACACTTCTCACAGGAGACCATCGCTCAGTTTATCAAGGAGCACCAAACACATCCACACTTCCCGCTATCCTTGCCTCACTTTGCTACCGGGCTTCTACCTCCCTTGCCATTCAGCACCACGAGAGAACATGGTAAGAAACAAAGGATCACAAATCTACCAGTATTCGCAGTGATATTAAATATACCTTTTTAAACTCGAAGAATTTTCTTAGATTTTCATCAGAGTTCAGGACAGTCAAAAATCACGAAGATAGTCGAAAATTTATTATGTTCACATAACAAAATTATAAAGTTGGCAGTTCTTAGAGATGATTTTACTGACGGTATAATTTTGTCTTTGTTTAGAAATGCATCTAGGGAGTCTAGAGCCTCTAGACCTGCAGATAGAGAACGCGCTGAGAGGAGGAGCGTCGTCGCTACTCTCCTTGCAGCGCATCCGCGAAGCGTCATTGTAAGTGCATCCAAATATTCAATAAATAAAACTTTGTTTGTTTAGAGGCAAAATATTATAGAAGTGAAAAGAAAATAATGTTCACAATCAATTAAGTACTTTAAAAAATTAACTTAATTTATGCGACGAAAAGATATTATTGGTTTGATAATGAAGTTTTATGATTTTATGACCCAGCAGAACTGGCTGGTATAGTAGGTGTATTTAATATAGTTTCTTACTCGAGATTGATTGAAAATCATTGAGTCTTATATCTTTAATGATGAAGTATGCAAAAAAATAATGCTTGTAAAAATGAAATAATTTTTGTCTATTGTTTTCGTACAGAGCGTTTTACGCCCCACCTAGGCCGCTGAACAGAAGCCCTTCTCCCCCTCCCCCTACAACGCCATCCCGAGGCTCCCCATCCACCGCACCCAGCCTATCGGTGGTGGGTGGAACATCAGCTCCCTCTTCCCCATCAGTCACCCACTCGACACCCCCCACGATTCCCTCACCGCCTTCATCATCCCCGAGTTCCCCAACAGCCACAGGTTCACGACCCTCAGTCAGACCCCCACCCTCACATGCCGACTACAGCGACGCCCTCAGGAGAAGAAAAGTCCACAAATGTGACTTCGTAGGCTGCACTAAAGTCTACACCAAGAGCTCCCACCTCAAAGCCCACAAAAGGACTCACACAGGTGAGGAGCTTGCTAACTAACCTACCGCCTCACTTCCTCGTGAAATGAGTGAACGGTTCTCAGTTATAATTGGTCATCTTGATAATTATCGTTATTGAGTTATGGAATAGTGCAAAATGTGAGGGGCAAAGCAATGGTTGAGAAATGGGATAATATGTGACCTTATTTATCACCCCAACTAAAAAGATAGTATCCGGTGTAATAATGGATGTTTATACATCAATTATAACACTTATTTACTTCACTTTTCAGGCGAGAAGCCCTACAAGTGCACATGGGAAGACGACCGGTGTTAATTACGTCCACTATAACGCTTGTTTATTTCACTGTACAGGCGAGAAGCCTTACCAGTGCACATGGGAAGGCTGTCTGTTTCAATTACATGCATTATAACGCTTATTTACTTCACTTTACAGGCGAGAAGCCCTACCAGTGCACATAATATATGTCTACAGTTGACATTTTATCTACGTTAACAGTTGACAATTGTGCAATATTATTGCTGCAATATTATTTATTTAGGATTTTCAGTGATGGTTTAATTTTACATTACAGGAATCGATGCGCAAGTATGAATTTTTAATGACTATTCAATGTTAAAATTAATTACTGATTTGACTTGCAGTTTGTTCACTTTCTGCATCCCAAGTATTTACTTCTGACACATAATATCCCTAACGTATCTAGAGTTCTATATAACTCTCTGAAAATAGACATGAAAAATTTTTTTCTTCCTTCGTTTATCATTGAATTTACGGAAACCTCATGGAGGTGTTCACAGAAGCTTCAGGGCTGTATATTCAAAAATTATGAAGTTGATCGTGTCTTCAGCAATCATTTTAATATTTTATTCGGCTTCCACGAACACGCCTATAATTGAAAAATTACAGTTCGGCCAATAAATGTCACTTGTGTTTTTGGATTTGCGATCTGTGACGATTTTTGAACATGCGGCCCTGAGTGCTTCATTGCTGGTGCTGTACGAGCTCCAGGATCTGCCATATCTATCGCGTAAGAAACGTTATGCCAATAACGCTTATTTCTCCAGAGTATTTTTACAGAGTTTGTACATACTTTTTATAGTTTAATGGTTAATATATGAGATATCGTTATTTTAATTGTTACTGACTTTGTGAAATATTATTACGGGTTCGAACGTATAGATGGTTTATTTCAGATCATTAACTACGGTTTCGAGCATTTAGATCTTTTATTTTATTTAATTTACAATGGTTGCTATAACCTAGGTCTAGATTTATCAGATCGTGCTCTGATATCAACACGGATCGAATTTCCAGATGATGTTTGTTGGAACTCGTTCAACAAATATGAAACCCTTTTCACGGTAGTTTGCGTAGTATAGAAAATTGATCAGGGTTTCACCGGTTTTTCTTGGAAAAGATCTCTGACATGAATAAATTCGTTAATGTTTTAGAGAAGTGATCTCTGACATAAGCAGTTCCGTTAGTGTGTCTGAGAAGATATCTCCACCGTAGAGGGTTTTGCTAGTGTTTTTTAGGACGAGATCTCTTACATCAAGGGATTTGCCAGTGTTTTTTTAAAAGGACATCTCTGTCAAAAAAATTTTGCCAGTGTTTTTTCAGGAAGAGATCTCAGACATCAAGGCTTTGTTAAAGTTTCCTATGAGGAGGTCTCTGAAATGAAAAGTTTTGCAATTTTTTATTTTAGGAACAGTTATTTCTTTTACAAAAGATTTTGCCTATGTTTCTTCTAGGAAGAAATATCTGATATGAAAGGTTTTTGCCTGTGTGAATATATCTTTACATCTGCGTCATCAACTCAAACGCAGCCGCCCCCTAAACTCTATAAAAAATTACTAAATTTTATGGACGTGAGAACTTCTCTCAATTTATAATCCTGGATGCGTTTCGTGTTTCAATTAGAGTTTGTAGCGACTTCCGTTTTCGTTTCATTCCGAAATATTTCTTTTAATTGCAAATTTGTTAATGCAGGTAACAGCTTATTCATATCATTGGATTTATTTGACGTTGGATAATAATATTATCTATTAGACATGTCGATATTCATGCAATATTTCAATTATTGGTCCATGTTTAAATTGATAGTAGTTGCTTGGATCCCATCAATTAAAAATTTGTTCGCTTTTTCCACATTATTATCAATCAAAATATTTTGCTGGTTTGCGGTTCTTCATCATCGGTGAGTACAAATTTCATGAAGTGAACAACACAGGATGCCCGAGTCTCAAAGTTGAGCTGTCGAGCGTCCATATCTTTCAGTTCTTGTGGAACTGCAAGAAATCCCATAATAAAATATCACAATTTTCGAACGTTTTATTATCCAAATTCTATACGTGTTATGGATACCAAGCCGACCTACTTGGACGTAGATAATTCCTGATTCATATTACAAAGCTTAAATTAAAACGTCGTCACATACGTGCATGGTTTTCAAAAGGGAACGCTGACAAAATCACAAGACAAAAAATTCAGTAATGTTATTCATCCCACGATGATTTCATTAACTTCTGTTTCATCTTCAGCTCTTTAATAAGCAGGTATTCTGCACGTTAAGTAATTGACTTTTGGGTATACGAGTTTGCAAGTTATTCGGTGCATATAGCAACAAGCATTTGATGCTGAACATGGCGATGGAGCCTAAGATGATTTCAACAAAAACGTGTTGAGGTGTTCGCTCATGAGAGTTGTTGAATTATTTAGGCGAATTATAGTTGGCCGCGCTTCAGCAAAACACATTACACATCATTAAATTTCGGTCACATTTACAACGAAATCGAATGCTGCATATACTGTATTGAACCGTATGCGATTCTGAGGAGGCGCTTGCAACTATCAACTGAATAAAATCTTGTAAATCGCGGATCACAGCTCTAAAATGACACAAACTTTCTCGAAAATTAGCGTCGATTAAGAATTGACCAGTATATATACTGAGTTATTATTTGAATAAATGTTGCCAATAGTTTTATAAAGGAAGAATGTAAGGTTAAATTTTGAAAAAAGTCCCAGGCTATGAAAACAGAGAAAATATATCAGGCTATGAAAATAGATCGCAAAAAGAATTATTTACAAGCAATTCTCAACGAAATTGAAAGAAGCAGCATCCACGATTCCGCACTCCACAGACAATCACTCCTGAAAAATCTGTAGAATCAACAATATTACATTTTACGGGAATGGTAAAAGCAAGCCCAAATGTAAATTTGAATTTCCACTTTGACTTGAAACAAACAAGAATGTATCCAAGAAACTGACCGTGAATGATGAAATGACAGCTTACTAGGATTGACTATCACTGCTAACCCTATGGAAGTTGCAGGTGACAGTGAATTCAATAGTCCCGGACCAAACGAATTATCATATATCTAATGCTAACAATTCAACTTACTCAATATATGATCGGAATCATTTGATCGGAAGTAGAAATGCACTATAGATAATGAAATAATTCACTGCTAAATGTAGCATTCAATTTGTTGAAGCTTTGTTTACCCATAAATAGCTGGGTCAGATCCAATTCAGTTTTTTCAGTAAAGTGATTTATCTTTAAATTTCAAAAAGCGCAAATGAAATAAAAAAGCGTAAATGTAAAGATGTTAAACAGGAACAGCCTGCTCTCACTTAGGGTTGGAAAATACAGCACTCTAGCATTTTCCTGTATCATCAGCAAATTTTCCAGAAAATGACTTGCAAATATAGAAATGAATCGTATTTTTCCAAAACCAGAGATTTAGTCCATAACAGACTTTTTAATCGGTCATTCTTCATAAATAAAACTATAATTTCTTCCTCATTTTTGCCCTGCTAAGAGGTGTAATAAAATTCTCGCGTGTAGGATTCTAGCACGACAACTTGTCTAAACTGGCCTTTAAACGCTGGCCTTTGTTGACCAGAAACCGGCCACATGCACGCCACGAAGTTCTGTGTTCGCTATGGTTCCGCGGATCATGCTTTCACCGCGCGACTATGTCACGATTCTTTCTACAGATAATGATAATCAAGTATAACTAAGTAATTAAATGTGTCTCTGCAGTTAGGTATGTTCGGAATGTGAAGAGCAGCCATATTTGATGTGATTACATCAAAATACATTCGTTTAGTTCTAAGATAATTAGAAAAACAATTATTCTCTAGACATTCAGAGTCGTATATTGAGTTTTTTTATTTGTGTTTTTAAATACTTGATTTCCAAATTGACTTTGCAAGAAAAATGCTTTGTCATTCATCCCGGTACATTTCGCCTGCCTGTGGATAAGCATGCATGTATCACTAAATGCCTAAAAGCTCATAAAGTGTGGCACAAAATGATTCTCTCATCAGAAAGAAAAAAAATTCATAACTTTCAGCCATCGCCAAAAATCTGCTAGGATATTAATTCGTCTTTTAATGGGTGCAAGTGCAGCTGAAAGCAGCGAGTTAGGACCCGGCTGGCCGGCGCTGACAAGCGTTAATGATCTTCGTGAAGTCGTTAGGGAAAATCACGACACGCTTTTGGAAGAGCCAGGGATCTCCTGCGGAAAAACCTCACTTAGATTCGTAACTATATTGGTCCGTAACTATGGGCCCGTAACTATGGGCCCGTAACTATGGCTCCGTAGCTATGGCCTCGTAACTATGGAGCAGTTACTTTGGGCCCGTAACTATGCGCCCGTAACTATGGGTCCGTAACTATGACACGTAACTATGCGCCCGCAACTATGGGCCCGTAACTATGGGCCCGTAACTGTGGGCCTGTAACTATGGCCCCGTAGCTATGGCCTCGTAACTATGGAGCAGTTACTTTGGGCCCGTAACTATGGGACCGTAACTATGAGCCCGTAATCATGTACCCGTAGCTCTGGGCCCGTGTGAATGGGCCCGCCGGGTATCCATGGGGCCGTCGCTATTGCCTTAGGCCCATCGGCATAGCCATAGGCCCGTAACTATATGGGCTGAAATCGGTACGTTGATACGATTCAATAATAATTTGCTTGTTCGGAATTCAATTTTATTCACTTTGGACGTTCCCTTGAGAAGATTCACGCTGCATTTGTTTGCTCCGGGAAAGACCAATGTTGATTTTCATAAGATAAGCTACAGGCAACTGCCTGTAGCTTCTTCTCTTATTGTAGCTGCCTGTAGTCAATAAGACAATTTGCACGTTTAGCGAGCCAGAAATCAATTAATGAAGCACATGATTTTCAGTCAATTAAAAAAAATCATGAAATCGCGAGAAACAAAAGAATTTATTGTAGATTATGGAAGATTGACAGAACCTATTTATTTTCGATAGTTTTATTTCCACAAATAAATTGAAAATTTTCTAGACAAATTATGTAAATTTACAGTTATTTTTCATACTCGACAGTTACCCGACAAATAAGTATTTACCGTAAAATAATATTGTTCGATATACCTTCAAAATTATTTACCGATCGTCAAAATTAATCACCACGGAATG